AGAAGTTCTCAAGCAGCATTTCTTACTTTCCCTATCTGTACATTTCAATTATTGTCAATAGAAATATTTTTGTTGGTTTGTATGTGTAGGGTGAAGGAGACATTTACAGATAAAAATCTAATCCTTCCAAGCCTATTTAGAGAGGTTCCTGGAGCTCTTACGTTGGAATATGGAGGAACCTGGTGTTGAACTCTCCATTGTGCAGGAGAAATCCCTTTAATAGCCTGAAACTTAGACAGAAAGGGGAAATGGCCAGTCCTCTTAGTGAGGTCTCCTGGGCCACTTCAAGATCTGTGACAGATACATGCCTCCAGGCACAAAAAAAGGGGGTGGGGCTGATAGGCTGCATTACATTCAATGGCATGGCTTCAACTTTTTGAATACCCATCTTATACCAAGATCTTTGGTTGTCACAACTGTCACAAAAAGGACAAAGCAAAGGAGTGTCTCTTGTTTCATTTCCCAGGACACAAAGAAAACTGACATTTTATGACTATGAGTTTTTATTGGAGCCCCTTCTGTGTAATATATTAGCATGTAGGCAACCCCCCATGATAGTTTCCCATGCCAGGGTCTGGCACAGACACTTTTTCTGAACCTCCTTTTTGTCTATTTTCTCACTCTTTTGTCATTTTCTCTCTTTTTTCCATCTTGTTCATTTTTCTTCCCTATAAACCATTTTTTCTGCATTTGCTGTCCATTTTTATTCTGGTTTCCACTTCATACTACCTCTCTCTCAGTTCTCCCGTTCCTCCTCCATCTCTGTTTGCCTACCCCTTCTCCCAGTTTTCTCCTCTTTTATTCTCCTTTTGGCCTTGTCTAGAGTAGGAAAATTAGTACCTGTTCTTCAGCAACAGCATACATGCAGTATTGCTATAAATAGCATAAGTGTTATTGTAGGCAGAGCTCAGATGTTTTTCTATCAAGATATACCTGTGACACTAAGAGCACCCTAGTGTGATATGGTAAAGTAACAGTACGTAACAGTAAATCTGGTACGTAACAGTAAATCTCAGCCGGCCTGATCAGCTTGATATACCTCACACACCATTGTTATGATATTTATTTAAAAGGTGTCTTGTAATGTATCATTTGAAAACTAATACACTGCTCATTAATATCACTGTGAAATTTATGTAAATACTGTATGTAAAATTATTGATATTCTCTGATATAATGGTTTGGAAACAGACAAAGGAAGCAAAATAGGTTTTTTTCCAGACAAAGGGTAAGGTAAATACCTCTTTGGTTCAGTTGCAAACCAAGCCAGGTGTGATCATAGACAAGGATAATGGGCTATTCACTTGCATCAGAGATTGCAGGAAGATCATTTGCATTGTAAAATTCAGGAGACTGCAAAATTAACATGGTGCTGTCTCTTGGTGGACACAGACAGCTGAGCAAAGCTGAAACCCCAGGAGGGCTTCTTGACTTTGAAATTAAAGCTAAATTTTGGGGATATAAGGAACTGCTGAAAGACAGCGGGGGCATCCATCCCTTGAGGGAACAAAGAAACCAGCATTATTCTGTGAGGGTTGGATCCTGGGTGGAACAGCCAGCCTGCTGGAGAATGCTGAAAACTTTGTGTGAGTAAGATACTAGGTTAGGCAAAACTGCATCTTGCTAGAATTAAGTTTTAAACAGTAGAAAATGTGTTATTTCTGTTTAGTTTATTTTTGTTTGTAACCCTTTCATATCTCTTACACTGGAGCTTGAAATCACTTACATCTATGTTCTTTGCTAATAAACTTATTCTTGTCTTATTACAAACTGTCTCAGTGCTGTGTATTAAGATGGATTGTACCACCCCAGCTGAGCTAACAAGCTGCTGTGTGTACTGGCTCTTTGGAGGCAGTGAACTTGGTGTTACCTCTGTGAATGTCCACTACACTATGGCTTATGTCAGCATAACTTATGTCACTCAGGAGTGTGAATAAGACCCGCCCCTCGAGCGACATAAGTTACACTGATATAAGCGCTGGTGTGAACTGCACTATGTTGGCGGGACAGCTTCTCCCCCCAAAATAGCAACTGCTGCTCTTGGAGGTGATTTTATTATGCTGATGGGAGAGCTCCCATTCGCATACAGCATCTTCACCACTGTATGTGTAGACATGCCCTAAGAGGGACTGGACACTGCAGTGGAGATGGTTTTGGGAGATTTGGGACAATGAGAATTGTTGGGGTCAACCAAAATGGAGTAACTGAATGGGTGGAATAGCTTTTAACCTTTGTGCTGTGAGCAGGCTCCTGGTGTCAGGGCTCTGAGCCAAAGCTGCACAGACTAAAGAACACAAAGTTACAGGGCAGGCAGTGACAGAACCCTTTACTGGTCTGGGTGAACCCCTAAGGCATCACAACACCATTCCTACTGTAGAAATCCCCTCTTTCTGTATATCTTATTTACCTTTCTAATTCCCTACTCCTCTCCCTTTCCCTTCAGTCTTAAGTGCTGTCCCTAAAGTTCCCCATTATTCCCCTTGCTGTGTCCTCTCTCTTTATACTGTTCCTCTATCAGGGATGTTCCTCTCTCTGCACTTTGGGAGCCAGCTCACCCTGCCCTGTTTGGAGACTGCACCTCTCCTTTTCCCCCATCCCACAGTCTCCGCTTCTGTCACCCATCGCTTCCCCACGGCTGCCACCATGCAGCACTCTTCTCTCCAATCCTTTCAAGGGCTTGGCATTGTATGAAGCACTCCAAACGCCTGGTCCACTGCTTCCGCTGCTCTACAGCTCTGACTGATATGGAGATAGCTGCCTTCTAGTTATGGGAGTATGATTTTTAGCAGCAATGCCCCTTGTTTTGCCAACTATTTAAAATAACATTTGAAAGTATGTATATATATATATATATTTTAAAAATACATAAATAGGTGTGAGGAACCTATCATCTACACTGTTTTATTTCACAGAACCCTTTAATTAAACATGAAATACATGATTCTCAGGAAGAATGGTCACCATTTATCCAGAAGGGGTCTCTGGGTCAAGTGGCCTTATCGGTAAAGAACCTGGACAAAGGAGACCAATAGACTAAGACTAACCTGGCCTCCTGTCTAGGATACTGGGGGTGAAGACTTGGCTACCTGGCTACTTGACCTTTAGCTAAAGACCCCTCAGGAGACACTGTTCTCTACATAAAGACCTTATTGAGCTTAATGAAAATACAAAGGCTCTTTGCAGCATTTCCAAAACAAAACATTTTGACATTTACTTTCTTCTTTGACCATAACTATTTGCCAGAATGTCCCAAATAGTTTGTCACATTAAATTGGTATTATCATGCCTGTGGGTATCTCAAAACCATGGGTTCCACTTAAAGGCAATAACAGCAACAGTGTTAGGATTTTTTTTTTCTTTTTGGAGGTGTAGGGATAGCTCAGTGGTTTGAGCACTGGCCTTCTAAACCCAGGGTTGTGAGTTCAATCCGTGAGGGGGCCATTTAGGGATCTGGGGCAAAAATAAGGGACGGTATTTGGTCTGGTCCTACTTTGAGCAGGGGGTTGGACTAGATGACCTCAGGACCTTTACAACGCTGATATTCTATGTTTAAAATAATGAGTTGATAGGAAAAAAAGGACAGAGAATAAATCACAGAGATAGTAACATTCCCCAGTGGATTTACCTCAGCATTATAGATTGCTTTTAACAGAATTCTGATGTGATGTGTGTAGTAAGTGTTCTAAGAAATAACCCATTAGCAGGAAAATCTCTCTCACTCCTTTTAGTGCTCAATGTTTCTAGCACTTAGTAACCATGGTGGAGGTTGCAAGTTATTTGATGCCTAACAAAATATATTAGCTTCTTTTTCCGCAACAGAAACAAACAAAGCAAAAAAAAAAAAAGATCAAGTTTATAAAAATAAATACATCAAACAAATAGATGACTATAAATTTTTTGAGCTGTACATTCTGCACTTGAATGCTGTGTGTGACTCATCACTGAACGGAGATGATAAATAGGTCCTAGGGAGAAATTCTCATTTATGTATTTGTATCATGGTAGCACCCTAAATCACAAATCAGGATAAGATAAAATTTTTCCAAGCTGTATACAAAATAGAGTAAAAGACAGTCCTGTCCATAATTAGTGTTTAATTAAGGCAAGACATACCAAATGGCTGTAACAAACGAAGGAGGAAGGGTGAGGGAAACCATAATAAAAACATGTGTTTTCATAGGCCAGCTAAGTAAACAACTAAATGGTTTTGAGACTGTCATTTTGCCAAAATATATATAGATAAACAAACAAACAAAACAATCAGAAGTCCCTACATCCATTTACTTAGGCACTATCATCTGTCAGTTTCCCGTAGGTTGTTGGAAGAAGTGGGTCTTGCAGAAGAGGGATTTGGAGAAGAGGGTAATGGCTTTATGGAATAATTTGGGGAGGATGTTTTGCATAGAAGACGTGGGGCAGAAGAAAGCACAAAGATGCTTATGAGAGAACTGGACAAGGGGGCAATGGAGGCTGGCAGCATTGGTGCAGGGGTGGAGGGGGTGAAGGGAACACAATAAAATTCTTTTGCAAAATGAGTCAGATACTTTTAAGGTTGATTAATGCATTTTTGCTTCTCCAATTAAGAGATGACAGGCAAACATGTGCTGTACTGGCCCTACAACACTCTGATTTATAGTTAATTCATTTGTGCTTTTCTGTTCTGTGCAGCTTTAAATCAAGCCAAAACCCCACAAAGCACCATAAATAGTTAGAAATGAAGACTTCTTCCATGCCGTTAAAATGTAACCAGAGACTGTTCAGCCATTTTGATTAAAAGCAGTGGCCTACTCTTGTGTTAGGCATGTAATGGAGAGTTCTCTAAAAACACATTATATTTTTTTTCTGGACTGCATTTTACAATCAATAATGTCCTGCTTTCTATTAAAAATGCTGCCAGAGCAGGCATTATGTATCAGTAAGATTTCTAGTGTTTCACAGTAATACATCTAATAATCTGAAAAGAAAATTAGCCTAAAATGATTGAAATCTTGAGGCAATGAAACGGTATTGGTGATTTTATTCAGAATGTGTCCAATATGATTTTCCATTTGGATTCCACATTTTTAAGCTGTTTCAATATATTATTATAAACATTATCTCCAGATTTTATGGAGTCTTAGAAAGTTTTTAAATTATTGAACAAAAGAGAAAAATTAAATCTTAATGATTAAATAACAGGACATTTATATACATCAGTGGGTTTTCTCAGATACGGGGCTCAAAGTACATACAATGTCTATTGAGGAAAAATAAAAAATTCAACCATGCAAATCATCTTTACAAACCAATTGTTCCACTTTCTTTGAAAAATCTGACTTTTACTTTGTTACTGGCACATCATTTAAAAATGACTCATAAATTTTAAAGGTTCATTTATGTTTTTTGGTTTTAGTATTGCCGTTGAAAAGCTGACAGGCAAACATGCTGTTGTAGGAGTACTGCATTGTACTGGGAAGATAAAAACTATTCTACCATCAACGACTTTGAGCCCTATAGTGGGTGCATCTGGTATCTGACATATCACCTGATCTAATCACACTGGTTTATCTCTGAACAACAGCATACCACAATACCAGCATAGATAGAACAATTTGACCAATTGCGTGATTTCATTTAACAGTTTTTCAACACCAGAATCTTTCATTGTTATAATTCTGCTTTTATGAATTAAAGGTCATATATAGAGCACACATGAGGTCTAAATTTAGTCACAGCAGACCACAGCTCCACATAAAGACACATCTTCAAGTTATGTTGACCTGCTAGGAAACAAAGATAAACAGCACAGCAAACATGTACCTGCAATGCACTGCTGCCCTATTAAATATTAACTGCTTCATTTCTACATTTAAATGAACTGAGCAGTAATGGATGGAATTTCCAGTACTGATGTCTGGTGCTGCTGTCATGGAAAGAAGACGAAGACAATAAGGCCTGCATGGGGCAAATGACACAATCATAACATCCGCTCTAAAGTGACTTAAAGATGACCATTCGCCAGTCCTAAAACATAATCCTAAACAGCATTTGTTTTCTCTCCCTCTGTAAATAGATCAAATTATTTAAATGTCTCCTTGACATTCATGGTATCTAACAGAAGCTGAAGTAGAAAAGGATGGGTGGTGTACAGCACTGAGGAGATAGCATAGTACTTGGTTTTGTTGTTTTGTTTAGCATTGATGTGCAGGGTGCAAATATCAGCCATCAGAAACGGGAGGAGTGACCCACCCATATTTTTCATGGGTCTTCACTAAACTCTTAAATGTTGCTTCAGCTTCCTTACGACTGAAGGACTTTTTTGATTTGCCAGCTTTTCTGCAGATACGGCCCTGCACCAAAGAAAGAGAAAACATTCATTAAAGAGGTGAACACACAGGTCCATTCCAATTTAAGCACTGAACAAGTAAAAACAATAAGAATTCACAAATGGTATGTCATAAAACACTCAGTTGGTATTAGTATTACACCCTTATGTCCTCTGTCTGATCACAAATGCTTGAGTAGGTCTGACTGTCCACCCAGCAGAGAACAACGATACTCAACATTGTTAGAAGACAGGCAGACACACAAAAGCAGCCCCTTATTATAAAATAGCTAACTGCTGAATAATGGGAACAGGAAGAAAGGTAGATGGCTTTCAGGAAATCTCCTACCGCTATATAGATGTAAAAGCACATTTGCGAATTGAGAGGGCTCAAGTTCTGCAGCTTTCCCCACCAACACTGTTACTAATCTTCTCCTTTGCCCTTCCCAATTCCCTCCCACCAACTTAGTCTGGTGCCTCCCTAAGGCATATCAGCCCCAGGGGTTGGAAAATGCTTTCTTAATGACCCAAGATTGTGTAAAAGCTCAAATAATGCCATACATGATTATTGTCATTAATATTTACAGTAGATCAAATTATGATTTACGGACAAATCAATGAGTATTAATGAATTATATTCTTATTGAGGTTACTAATGCCCTTCTTTTCCTCTGCAAACAGGAAAATGTTATTTTTCATGGTTGATTAAATGCTGTTTCCAATGTAAAAAAGTAGCTTGCAATATGAATGTGCTTTTAAGTGTATCCTGTATTATACCCAAATGCTGCAAAGCACACGATTCCTAGTTATCTGTTAATTTTTCTGTAATCAGACCGTCTCCATATAAATTCATTTTTAATATAAATGTGCAGTTTACCAATAAACAGCCCAATCCTGCACTTCTCTGGAATACTGTAATTTACTACCATGTGTGGTATGGAACTTATGCAGGATAGTAAGTGCCAGTCCTAATAAAAAACATGAATATCATGCAATCCATGCCTTCTGTGCATCATGAAAAAGGTCATGTGTTGTCCATTAATAATGCTCTGAATGATCCAGTCCTCCATAAATAATTTATGACTAAAATACTCAAAGATATTCTCCAGAGGAAACTGCCAACATGGTAAATTGTCCCAGTGATAGCATAGTAACATCACTAAACAACAGGACACTTTTCCTGCTGATTCAGCATAGTTTCCCTCTGATAATCTGAACTGAAAAAAATAAATGGACCAACACCCAGCCCTATTCTTTCTTAAATATAAGAACAGACTTAGTGTAATATTCCCAATTGGATTTAAAAGACCAACCTGCCCATTTCTATTTTTGTGACTTATGCATATCATTAATTTTATGATAAATGAAAATCTAGAAATTCAAACTCCTTGCATCTTCGTTAAGGCAGAATTAAACATGGGTATCAAATGTCTGACAGGACACTATTTCAAATGCATGTTTGACATGACACCCAAGTAATAGGTTGTTAACAGCTTATCCCATATAATAATTGTAGAATAATTTTGCACCTTTGCTGAGAGTATGAATTCAATTATTTGTGAAATCAGCAGGCTAAACAGACACTAGACAATAATATAACTACAAATGTATTCCACTATACAATAATATTGATCTTAAAAATGCTAATTTGTATTGCATATATCAGGGGAGGGCAAACTACAGCCCGTGGGCCGGATCCAGCCCATCAGGGCTTTCAATCCGGCCCGTGGGATTGCCAGCCCCGTGGCACAGCAGGGCTAAGACAGGCTCCCTGCCTGCCCTGACCCCGCACCACTCTCGGAAGCAGCTGGCACCACGTCCCTGCAGCCCCTGGGGGGGGGGCAGAGGGCTCCGTGCGCTGCCTCACCTGCAGGCACCCCGCAGCCACTACTGGCCGGGAACGGGGAACCATGGTCAATAGGAGCTTCGGGGGTGGTACCCACAGGCGAGGGCAGCACATGGCAGAGTCACTGCCAGACATGTTGGCAACTTCCAGGAGTGGCACGGGGCCAGGGCAGGCAGGGACCCTGCCTTAGCCCCGCTGTGTGACACTGCCACCCCAGAGCCACTCGAGGTAAGTGGCCCCAGACTGGAGCCTGCACCCCAAACCTCTCCTGCACCCTGCACCCCAACCCCTGCCCTGAGCCCCTTTACTCCCTGCCTTGAGCCCCCTGCCCTGAGCCCCCTTCTTCACCTCAACCCCCTCCTGCACCCCAACCCCCTATCCCAGCCCTACATTCATGGCCCTGCAAAGATGTGGTCCTCTGGACAAAAAGTTTGCCCACCCCGGCATATTTCCAATAAGTAAAGATTTATTTAGATTATTAAACTACCACTTTATCATAATTGTTTGACAGTCTGATTTGAAAGCCTTTGTTAGATAGAACAAAAACAATCTGATAAGTGGTTGCTCTTGTGCAACAGTGTTACACTGAGCAGTAACCAAGGAATATATCCTATTCTTCTACACTTAGCTGAAAATCGGGATAGGTCACAATTTTTGATTCCCATATTTTGCTCCTGATTTGTTAACCCTCAGTTGATAGACAGAAAAATGGAAATTGGTTTCAGGGAATTAGTGTTCTTTTATTGGTAAGTCTGCATTTCTTGTTGACTTTTAACAATAGCTAAGTAATTTGAACTGAAAATTGCCATCTCTAATTACATGCAACTGATTATACTGAATAAGCAATTGAGTTTGGAGTTAAAATCAAGAGTATAAAAATCAAAATGGAACAAACAACCCCTTCCCTCCCAAGACCTACACCCCAGCAACTGTTAAAGGTTTGAGCATTGGCCTGCTAAACCCAGGGTTATGAGTTCATTCCTTGAGGGGGCCATTTAGGGATCTGGGGGCAAAAATTGGGGATTGGTCCTGCTTTGAACAGGGGGTTGGACTAGATGATCTCCTGAGGTCCCTTCCACCCCTGATATTCTATGATAAAGGTGTTTTAATAGTCACAGACCAGATGTTCTCAAATTGTGATTGGTTGACAACTGGTGGTCCACAGAGCACTTGCTAGTGGATTCCAAAAAACTGACTGATCACATTCTCCTTTTCCTTATTTCTAGCTGCTAACTGCACTAAAAGGCAACTAAAAATGCATTAAACACTGTTCCTACTATTCATTTTCTATTTAAACAATTTTTGTAGTGTCCACAGGGATAGCATGATGTTTCACTTAACTCAATTTTATCACAATGTCCAAAATATTAAAATTAACTGACAGAAAACAAACAAACTAGTCAGGACTGTAAACTGAAAGGAATGAGGATAAAATAGAGAGTTATTTGAAAAGGGTCAGGTCAGGTTTTCTTTTTCTAGAAAGATATCACAATACAGTACAGAAATGTTTCCTATTGCTAATTACTATTAGACGTTAGTAAACTAGTTAATATTAAAATGACATTAAATTCATGTAATAAAACCTCTACCAATGTGGAATTTTTCCCAGTACAGTATATTTTCCAGTGTTCACTTCAAAATGTCTCAAATGATAGGGCTTTTGTTACAATTGCTATGGTATAACTGAGAATTTTAAAGTTTACCTTTTAAAATTGTACTAACACATACATTTGTGTAAATACATTTTCCCAGAAAATATTCATTTTCAGTTTGAGAGAAGTAATATATAAATGCATTTAGTGATATTCAGCATCTTTTCAAATGCTCATGGGTGCAAAATCTACTGTCCCCTTCTTTCCAGAAACACTAATCAGATTGATTTAATGGAAACACAACACATTCTGAATGGTTAATTCAGCTGAGGTAACATTCTGGGTTTGTTTGTTTTTATATTAAATATTTTCTCCTTTTTATCCTAAACCAAACAAGCATAGGGAATGTATTTGTACTTAGAGACACATGAGAAAAAGGAAAAATATGAAGTCTATCAGAAAATGAGTCCAACAGCTTCCACTTAAACTCCCACAGGAACTGATCTAGTTAGACATCAGCATGTTTTAAAAGTCTCATCAACTGAAAGTTTTTGGAACCTGACACATTTTGTCCACTCTTTAATTTCCACAGATGCAGCTATTACCATTCTAGAGGTGCCCAGAAATAGAATTTTTGGGGAAAACATATGCCATATTTTCTCTACAGCAAACAAGCTACACAATATGCAATACAAATAAAATATCAAAGATATAAATTCTGAAATCCCCTCTGATACTAAATGGGGGCTCTGCGACTGTGGGGCCTGTTTTCGTTCCTTTATCCGCTCATGCATCCAGGCAGAGTTCCTCTGGGTGGCATCCCCTGGCTCCTTGGATATCCTTTGAGGAGCAGCGGGTGCTGTCTGGGGTTCTCTGCTCAGTGTCACCTTCAGGTTCCCTAGTTTTGGCCCTTTGACCCTCACACCTGTTCCTGTTATTTTCCTTCGTGGTCCCCTGAATTTAGTTGAGTTCTGGGCTCAGGAGCTCCTCCCCAGACTGGAGGGAAAGGGACTTTTAGCTGTGGGCTGGCTTATGATCCCAGCACCCAATAAGATCATTCTCGTGCTGCCCTCTGGCCCTGCTGTATCACTATATATATATATAACTATTATTATGGTTGCCCCAAATTTCCCACTTGCTTATAACTTGGTAAAACTTTAAGCATTCTGATTGAAATTTTCCATTTTCTATGTCAGCTATCTGCCTCTGGCTCCATCTCCCCCCCCCCCCCCGCCCCCAGCTAACTGGTACAGCTGTTTCCAAGAACGCGGCTAGGGAAAAATGTTTTCTTCCCCCATGTTAAAAAATTCTTGAGATCTTTTCTTTGAAATGCTCTAGCATTTCCATGCACTGGAGCAGGAACATGACATTTGTTTGGTGGGGGGCATGGCCTTAGCATCAGGGAGTTCCTTTTGCTATATCTGTGAAAATCCACCCACATTTGCCAAGTTATAAGCCTTTGAAAATGGCAATTCATACAAAGGGTGCTGGAACATTTTTATAGTGAGGGTGCTGAAAGCCATTGAACAAAATTGTAAACCCTGTATATGATGGAAACCACTTCAAGCCAGGGGGTGCTGGCAGTGC